AGGTATGCGCTTAATTTTCTCATACCATCAGTCCCGTCTAAAAATCCAAAATACAACTGCATTTTAGTGAGCTTATGTTTGCTGGTTTAGGGAGTGGTCACGGAGTCCATCATACATCCACCTACATTAATAGGAGAATGCAACCGGTTTTTGATAGCCTCGGTTTGCAGAGATATGTACTCTTGTGCTCTAAGGTCAGTTCTTAGTTGCTTAAACATCGGAACAAAACATCCAGTCATGTTTTCATTTTTATAACACACTTTTAGGCTCGTTTTCTGTACATCTATTCTGGGGGTTTTGATATGTTTCGGGGACAATCATCAGATCCCTGACGGTGGATTTAGAGACAAGCCGAGGAAAGCCCGTGACTTCTACCACACATGTTATTGCCTAAGCGGTTTGTCTGTGGCTCAGCACGCTTGGTCAAAAGACGAGGGCACTCCTCCGTTGACTCGTGACATTTTGGGTAGCTACTCTAATCTCCTCGAACCTGTTCACCTCCTCCACAATATCGTCATGGATCGATACAATGAAGCTAACGAGTTCTTCTATAGAGCAGCATAACCCGTTCTCGGCGCATAAGCTCTCAGATACCAAAACCTCCCTACTCGATATGGTAATGGCATTATAAGAGATTTGTGTAGTGTTGTTATATGTAACCTTTTTAACAGAAGTTTTACTAATTTAACCTCAAAAGCGTTATGCGATTTGTATGAGAAGAGTTTTTGTATTATGTAACTTTATCAGCATAAGCTTTATTATTTCAACATTAGACTCACATTACTTATTCAAAGAATAATGAGACAATTGCGTCTTACGTTGTTTTCACAATTTTTATAATGAGAATAATGAGTTTATGCATGAAAAGATATACCGATTTCATAGTTAGTAATCACAAAACAAAAAGAGTTAGTGGTAACACATTAATCTTTTTTTCTTATTCCTATTTTATCTACCGTTGGTTACCGCCATCTTGTCCTGTTAATTTTCTTTTATCGTTTTGTGTCACTAATCAGACCTATTAAGTGTAAATTCAATTTGTCCAGTCAATTGTTGGGGGTTTTATGTAAACAAATATAATGTAGTCTCAAAGCGAAAGAAAAGATTAATCAAAGTCCTCTTTTGCAAACCTGTATTTTAAAAGTTTTGTCTCTTTCGTCTTCTTCCCCATTAGAGTCATTGACCATAGACAGTGGAAGAGCTTACTTCGTCACTTTCTCTGGCAATAATATAATTAAAAAAAAAACCCAACGAAAAATGGAAGAAAAGACACAGAAATTGCAGGACG